TATGTTAACCTACTAGAGCTTTTAGCTTTATCCGAATCTAATTATGATGTGGTGCCTGATCTGGCTAGTTCATCTGCTTCACAGTTACCAGAAATATCACTGTGTTTCGGTACCCATAGCAGGTTTATTTAAAATAATTTTTTTTTTTTTAATTTCACGACAGGTGGGAAATTATTATTAAGGTATTCAGAGATGCTTGCTGAAAAGAAACTAACCGACAATGAATGATAATCAGCGGGACAGAGGTTTTCAACCGCCTGGTTCGTATGTTGATTTAAACGGCTTGCAGACGGTGGAAGAATATTAGCTTTGTGCTTTCAAGGTTAGGTTAGTTTAGATCCAATTGTGATAATATGAACAATATGGCGGAACCCGCCGCGACAGCCAGGGTTAAGACTTTGTGTTGCTCAATGGTTTTATAGCCAATACGTGCAAGAAATTTTGTTTCTAAAATATAAGTTTATAAATTAAAAATTTCTAGCGTTTGTCTACATTGTTATAACTTAGCAAATGTATGGGCGAATGCGTAAATAGTTTTCTGAAGTCATGCGCTTATTATGCTAATTAGTTGCGAATTAAGCAAAACGCTATTTAATATGCTAATAGTGGAAGTTTAGTTTTTTATTTTTAGACCAAAAACAAACACAATCAAGAATTCTAATTACATATTTAAGAATTTTTTGTAGATTTTCACACTTGCACGTATATGTTTTTATACGCATATAAATACCGTTTCTAATTAATTTTAAATTCCTCCGATTGAACACAGATTGCTTGCGGCTTGCATACACATGTATATGTAAGTATGTACATTAGGGTCTCCGTTATTTCCCAAGTTGATTTTTTTTTGTAAACGCCCTCTGAAGTTTCAGTTTAAACCGTGCCTAAACAAGTATACCTATTTATATTCAAGTACAAAATTTTTCACTCTACAAACAAATTTTTGAAGATTTTTTTGACAAAACCACTCTTTCGAAAGACATTCAGTTTAAGTTATACGTCAAACGCATGTCTTATGAGCAACACAGAATTTATAAGGCCCTTGTACGAATGCTCAGTATAAGTAATTCGGTTTTTAAACGATAGATTGGTTCCAGAAAAAACCGTGTAAAAAGAGACATTGATCATTTCCCTAAATTGTGCAATTTAGATTTGCTCGGACCAGTAAACTTGTTTGTATCCATAAAAAAGGGATTCCTCTAAATTTGTGACATATGAAAATATTCCGTGCTAAATGGAATTTAAAATATTTTTCTTCATTGAGTTATAAAATTCAAAAGAAAACACAAATTTACCTTAAAATAATAAAACTTCAACCACTAATAACCGTTTAGAGGTTAGGTTTACGACAAATACGTACGATACCATTTTGTAGAGCATTCAATTTCCTACAAAATCTATAAAACGAGATCTTATTTCAAGTAATTGGAAGCGAGATTTGAATTTTTATACTCTCGCAACCTGTTGCTACAGAGTAGAATAGTTTTGTTCACCCAACGGTTGTTTGTATAACCTAAAACTAATCGAGTTAGATATAGGGTTATATATAATATATATAAATGATCAGGATGAAGAGACGAGTTGAAATCCGGGTGACTGTCTGTCTGTCCGTCCGTGCAAGCTCTAACTTGAGTAAAAATTGAGATATCTTTAGACATGTTTCTTGGTACCGTGAGACGGTTGGTATTGCAAATGGGCGTAATCGGACCACTGCCACGCCCACAAAACGCCATTATTCAAAAACATATTCAACAATAAATTGCCATAACTAAGCTCCGCAATTAGATACAAGACTGATATTTGGTATACAGGATGGCATTAAGGAGGGGCATCTGCAGTTAAATTTTTTTTTTTAAGTGGGCGTGGTCCCGCCCCTAATAGGTTTAATGTGCATATCTCCTAAACCGCTAATGCTATACCTAATACTAAAAACCAATAAAATAATTACATTTAAACAATAATAAAATTCACTGGAAGCAACTGTTTTTAGAACCTCTACCCACAATGTGAAAATGGGTGACTCCGGGTGGCAACTCCGCCCACTCCCCATATAACGGTACTGTTAAAAACTACTAAAAGCGCGATAAATCAAGCACTAAACACGCCAGAGACATTAAATTTTATCTCTGAGATGGTATAAGATGACTTTATAGGAACCGCGTTCAAAATTAGACAGTGGGCGTGGCACAGCCCACTTTTAGGTGAAAACCCATATCTTGAGATATGCTTAACGGATTTTAACCAAATTCGGTACATAACGTTTTTTTTATGTTTCTATGTCATAGTGCGAAAATGGGCGAAATCGGACTACAACCACGCCTACTTCCTATATAACACCATTTTAAATTCCATCTGATTCTTTCACTTTCCACTATGCATATCAAGCAATAATGATTATATCGGAGTAAAACTTTGCGTGAATAATACGTTTAAAGTATGCCACCTTATGACTAAAAATTGTCTAAATCGAACCAAAACTGTTCAAGCCCCTAAGTACTAAATATGTGGACCCCAGTGCCTATAGTTGTTCTTCTACCGAAAATATCAGTCAATCCACAAAGAAATCACAAACGAGTATATTATTTGACTTTGCGAGAGTATAAAATGTTCGGTTACATACGAAATTAGCCCTTCCTTACTTGTTCTATCTGATAATAATAAATAAAAAAGAAAACTGTAAGTGGGAGGACCTTCCCGTTTCAATTAAGGGCTCATACTTGGAGAGACTTTTTTAGAGGTGTCTATCAACCATTTTTTCAGAGTACCAAGCGAAAAAAACATTACTTTTTTTACCCACCCTACTCTAATATACATATATCCATATGTATGTAAATTCGAATGAAAGCTAATGCTCATACTTCCGAAATCATTATTTATTTGCATTTTTCAAAACCGCAAAACAGAAAGTACTGCGCTAATTTATTGTAATACATGAGCAGTTGGCATCTGTTTTCCATATTCATTGCAGAATAAATGCCATCTTGAAAATATTTGCCAAATTAAAACATGGAACAAGAAAAAACGTTAACTTCGGTTGTACCGAAGCTAGAATACCCTTCATAAATAAAGTTTCCATACAGCAACTTGATTTTGATCGTTTAGTTTGTATGGCAGCTAAGTATATGCTATAGTGGTCCGATACCAACGGTTCGGACAAATGAGCAGCTTCTTGGAGAGAACAGGACGTATGCGATATCTCGAAAACTCAGGTACTACCAAATCGACTAAGTTCGTCATGCTGATCATTTATACAAGTAAGTAATAATATATTACAATAAATATATTTTATAGGGCCTCCGACGTTTCCTTTTGCGTGTTACAAACATCGTGGCAAACTTAATAAACCCTGTTCAGGGTATAAAAAGTTTATTTCTGGTTTCGTTAGCATAATTAAAAAATGATTATAATATCTGTAGCATGCATCATTAACTACAGTATCCCCGCTTAATTGACCCCCGGTTAATTGATTTTCCTGCTTACTTCAAACACCTGATCGGTTAAAAATATATTGCATACAAACTACGTGAAAAATTTCCCGTTTAATTGGTTTACCCGCATATTTGCGTATAAATATTTAAATATTATTTATATATTATATAAATATAAAAAAAGATAATTAACCCCCGGTTAATTGCAAAAATCTTTAGCTAAAAAATAATCTCTGACATCAGCATTTAATAACTGGTTTATTGGTGAAGATATTTTGGATGGTGCTGATCTAGAGGAGTAATAGAAAGAAGATGATCCTCCAAAGCCTTCGTCTGTTCTCGAAGTTTTAAAATACATACAAAAATATATCTTTATTCAGAAAACAACAAACATTCAATAAAAAAAATAACAGACTTTTTCAATTAACATTTTAAAAATGTAAGCAACGATCTCTTAATATGTGAACTTATGTGCTGTATATATAAAATAATATGAATTGTTTTTTCTTTAAGTTTTTTTTATAACAATATCTTTAAATAAGTACATAAGGACATTGTCTTGTTTTTGTACCTTTTATTTTTTCCTCTTAAAGTTAAAAATATTATTAAAATATCATTACTAAAAATTAAATACATACTTAAGGTGCACACTTGCATATGCTTTTTTAAATTAATTAGGCTGTTCAATTAAGGGGGGTTCGTGCGATTGAACGAATAGTTCAATGAAACGAGATTGCTGGTTAATTGAATTAAAAAGTGTGAAATTTTCGAAATGAAACTATCTGGGAGATTTAATAAAAAAAGCAGTGTTGCCAAGTTTGTTGCAATTCACTAAATAAAAGTAGTCGATAAATATGGTAAGTATGCTTAGAAAATCATTCATTATTCTGTTCTTATTCATGTATGGTATCATGAATAAAAATATGTAAATTTTTAGTTATGTTCTTCTCAGACATACAAGAGTAAATATTAGGGCATAATCGAAATCAAGATAATCGGAACAACCGTATTCACTTTTCCTTGAATGGATATCTTCTCTTTAATTTGAATGGATATCTTTAAGAAATTTCGTATGGGTTATTATCTAAGGTAATGGTGCAATCTCCGAAGAAATTGTTCAGATCGCATTACCATTGCATATAGCTGCAATACAAGCTGGCCGATCAAAATTACGTTCTTGTAAAGAATCTTTTGTATTTCTGAAGGGTATTATAGCTTCGGTGCAACCGAAGTTTACGTCTTTTCTTGTTTAGTGCATTTTTTTTTTCTGCGCTAAACTGCATCACGGTTGTTATACCCTGAAATGGGTTTCGTGCCACGAAGTTTGTACGAAATCGAAGGAATTGTTCAGATCGGACCACTATAGCAAATAACTGCTACAAACTGACCGATCAAAATGAAGATATTGTGTGGAATCTTTTGTATGTGTGAAATATTCTTCGGTTAATGTTTTTTTCTTTTTGTGAAAAATATATCGTACATAGTACAATATTATAAATATTTATTATAGATATATATAATATTATTTTATTTCGTTGAATATTTTATTTAAATTGCGTTTTATGATTGCAGGATTGGTCGTGGAAGAGAGTATTACGAGGATATAATGTCAAAAATAAATGGGTAAGTGGTTTTATTTTTTGCCAAAATTTATGATTCTTCAATTTGTATTATTGTTTGTTAATATATGTACGTCTACATGCCTCCATTTACAACCCTCTCTACTTCGTACTTATGCTGAACAGTGTATTGATGCCGGGTGGTGCGACATTTTTCAACCAATCTTACGGCTATGCCGACGCTGGCCAACATTTATACAACATCGCCATCAAAATGAACGAACGCGGCACCTACATGCCTATTTGGGGCACTTGCTTGGGATATGAGTTGCTCGTCTATTTGACGTCCAACGGCACAGATTTGCGCACCGATTGTTCGTCATCGGCACAAGCATTGCCATTGGAGTTCGAGAAGGGTTACAGAGAGAGCAGACTCTTTGCTCCAGCTAGCGATGAAGTGGTGAAGATCTTCAGCACATACAATGTCACGGCGAATTTTCACATATTCTGCTTTACGAAGAAGGTACGTATTTTGGTCGCAACTAATAAGTATACGTATGCACATATTTATATATTCATGTCTTCATGTATGTTTTTGTTAACTTACTGCTCATAATTAATGTTGTTGGTCATTATCTATCAAACCAAGTGGCTAATACAATATAATGATAATTTGATAAACGCAGAACTACGCATTTAACTAGTAATCCATTGTAATTATTACAATGAAGAAATTACTAGTGACATACATACATATGTACATCGTATTTTAGTTTTTGAAATTTCGTGTATATGCACTGTTGGTTCGAATAAGTTGTAAAATTAATATGAATATAGTAACGGTAAATTGTAGATTAAAAGTATATTATAGACATTCTAACTAACTGGATTTAAGACAGATTGATTTTTATTCTAACAAAAATATTTTCTTAATTAACAATTAATAGAGAGAAATGTAGCCGAAAAAGTTAAAATTCGAGGATGCTGTGTTAATCGAAATTAGTACTATTCTTCTTTGTACCAATTTCGAATAACACAACATCCTCGAATTTTACTTTTTTTACTGTTTACTGTTGATTTTAGTAAAAACATGAGCCTTCAGTCACTTTTTGTAATTATTTGTACATACCGGCCCCTATTATAAAGGCCTGTCTGACGACAAACCTGTAAAATTGTTATGTAGCGGGATTTTAAATTTCCCGCTTCAGACTTGTACAGAAGCCTTTGAAATTGATAAAACAAAAAGAAAGAAATAGTATGTTGAAACCTATCGGAAACGAAAGATAAAATAACAAACATTAAAGGAAAACTATTTTACGGACGATCTGAGGCTAGGAAAAGGGGGGGAGTAGCGTGGTTGAATTTGTAATGTTAAAAACGGTTTATCTCGATTTCCGGCAAAACTACGAGCCCAATGGAAACAAATTATATGGCAATGTTGTAAGTAATGAAGAGATCTATAACTTTTTATACAGACATTTTTCACATAACCTCAAATTAATGCGAAAAACTCAAATAACCAAGTTTTTTAATTTTTATCTTGTATACAATTTTTTTCTTTTACGAAATTTGGTGTAAACTTACCTTCTTATGTCCCAAATACACTGTATTTTTTTATTTTAAATATTAAGGAAGAAACGGTATTTTGACTTAAAATAAAAAAAAAAACCAAATTTTCAATCCATACATATTAATAATGCCATTTCAAGGTAATTTCACAATGCCACTCTTACTGAAACCCACGTCCTTGTTGGCAAAAAGCTGGGACGGTCGATTTTCACTAGGTTCTTTTGAGGCGAGTTTTTTACCTGCAAAATCATTCGTCATAGACAGGAACAGGCAGTAATCACTACCGGATCTAAACTATAAGAGAGATACATGAAAATCTCCCAAATAAGCTTCCGGAGCTTCTGGTGAGTCACTATCGATGTGTGTGGCCTGATGCTGAGGAAGAGAATTCCTCTTCTATTGGTCAAAGTATTTTGCACCCAACTTCTGGGCGATTGTTTCTTTCAGACCGTCAACTTTTTGACGGTACAGATCCGAATTTGGATCGGCCGTAGAGGAGCAACTCATAGTAGATGATTCCATGCCAATCCCACCAAACACATAAAAAACCCTCTTGATCGTCAATCTTTGCTTGGCTGCCGTGTGCACCAGCTCATTGCGATTCCAAGACGACCGTTTTCAGTTGACGTTGTAAATGTCCTACTTTTCAAAACCATTAACCATCTGCTTCAGAAATGGATCGATTTTGTGCGATCTAGCGCAAATTAGAGATTCGCTCCATACGATTTTTTGGCTTAACTCGTGTGGCACCTACAACTATATAACGAGCAGTGTTTTGTATGCAACCTTACTTGAATGGTACGATACGCGTTTTTATGCAATGTTTAGCCCCCTGTCAGTTGATACATTCGCAATTATCGTAGAAAACTGTAAAAAATTGCGTATTTTCTCTTTGTTGTGTCCTTAAACAATACAGAGTCCAGCAATCACAAAACTGTCTGAGAAGTGTTTTTAGTTCAAAATCTTATTTTTCTAACCATATAGCTATATAGCGTAATCCGATCGTACTTTAAAAGCACAAGATACCGGTTATCAAAGCCATATATTGGCTTAAAATGGGTGCCACGCCCATTGTCCATTTCGAATACCGATTCACCTGCAGGCCTTTCATACCTTCTTTACTAAAATATCTCGAATATACGAGTTCACTGAAGTTCTAGTACTTAACCTCCTCCTTAATTTCAATTGTATTGCAAAGCTTAGCTGTGGCCTCCGTGTTTAGATGTAAATTGGGCAACTTTGTATTTGTGCACGCTTTACATTTAGGCAAAGCATACCGCGGAAACACGTAGTATTATTGGCTGTAAGCTTAGGGACTTAATTTAATTGTTTCGTATATTTTTAGGTACCATTTTATATTAAGCGTAATTTAATTGTAAGTCTCTATGAAAATTTATATTTGGAATTTAGCTTAACTTATAGGATTACGTAACGTTTTATATGCTTTATTTTTAGACTTTTGCAGACCATGGCTTAAATAACTCCTGGAGTGTGCTGAGCATAAATCACGACTGGAATGGTGCGGAATTCATATCGACCGTCGAGCACGTCAAGTATGTGAAGTTGCGCATAGTGGTTGTTCGAATACAAGTTTTTAGTTATATATTATATATAATATTATATGAGCCGGCTGACTTTACTCCATCAATTGCAATTGCTTGAAAATAAATTCTCAAGTATACCTGAACCATGCCAAAAGTTAATGTAATATATAAAATAATGTAGCCCTTCCATTTCTATGCCTCCCATTGATTTAAGTATGATTTTTTTCAAATATATTGTAGTAATAGAAGTAAGTGATTCTATGACCTTCAAAATAAGTAAATATGATACTAAAATTCATTATCATTCTTAATACAAAGTTTTGCCAACACCTGAAGGTATATCCCCGGCTTTGATCCCTTCAAGTTGCAAGAGTATGAAATGTTCGGTTACACCCGAACTTAGTCCTTCCTTATTTTTTATATTTTTCAAAGAAGACAAGCAGACCAGAAATATGTATTTGAACAACTTTGTAAAGTATTTATTTTCATATAATTTGTCTCAACACTCCTATAATTTAATTTATTACAGATATCCATTTTATGGCGTTCAATTCCATCCTGAAAAAGTACTTTACGAATTCATTCCGAATCGAAATATTACTCACACCTCACAAGCGGTTATCGCCTCGCAGTATTTCGCAGACTTCTTTGTGAATGAGGCACGCAAGAATCGCAATAACTTCGCTAATAGCACCGAGGAAATCGATGAACTCATCTATAATTACCAACCAGTATATACGGGCGCTATAGGCTCCGCTTTTGTACAGCAGTATTTATTTGAAGCACGCAGCGCCGGCACAGTCTCAACGAATCGCACAGTCGCAACGGCCGGCGCCATACAACTGCATTGTTTCCTGGCGCTAATTACGTTATTAATTTTGGGCGCTTGGAGGCGTGTATGACGTCATACCATTTATTGTGCTTCAAGGCGATTCGGCCATGAAGGCCGACACTCGTGATGCTACTAACTCGCTTTATATGTTCATTATTAATGTTATCAACTGCTTCGTAAAGTTCCTACATAAATATTCAAATAATGGCAGCTTCAAGTGTGTATGTGTGTGAGCATCACACGTCAATGAAAAGTAAAGAGGCATTAATGTACGAAAATTTACTGCTTTGATAATTATTTGGGTTGGCAACTAAGTAATTGCGGATTTTTTTTTTTTTTAAATCAAAGACAATTTGGTCATGCAAATAAATAACTTTATTCTGTAATGTATTGCCCATTTTGATCAATGACCTTTTGCCATCTTTCAGGCTGCATCATAATCCCACGTTCATAAAACCTCTGGTTTTTATTAGCAAAAAACTGAATCAGGTACAATTTGACATCATCTTTAAAGAAATTTTTACCATTAAGAAGTTTTGTAAAGATCGAAACAAAAAGTAATCCGATGGTGCAAGGTCAGGACTATATGGTGGATGTAGCAAAACATTCCAAGCAAGCTCCAATAACTTTTGCCGAGTGGCCAAAGATGTGTGTGGCCTTGCGTTATCATGATGGAATACAACACCTTTTCGATTTACCAATTCGGGCCGCTTTTCTTCAACTGCAACAAAGTAGACAATTTCTTTATAATCCCATCAAACTGATAACAAAACTTTCTTTTGATGAATACCATGAATACCAGCATTTGATGTTGTTTGAGCTGATTCACCTGCCCTGCATCGCGATCTTTTCCGCTCGATATTGTTGTAAACAACCCATTTTTCATCGCCAGTTATCATTCGTTTTAAAAATGGATAATTTTTATTACGTTTATTTAGCAAATCGCAGCTGTTAATGCGTTTCTTTCAGTTCGTGAGGAACCCATGTATCGAGTTTTTGAACATAGCCACGCTGTTTTAAGTGATTTTGAATGCATGTATGTAATACCTGAAACTTCTCTGCAATCTCACGTGTTGTACTATGACGATCCGAATCGATTATTGCTTTGATTAGGTCGTCATCAACTTCAACTGGACGACTAGAGCGTTTTTCATCTTTGAGTGAAAAATCACCAGAACGAAATTTGGCAAACCAATTTTGATACTGCCGTTCTTTTATGGTTTCGTCGCCATAAACAGCACATAACTTTTTGTGAGCTTGCGATGCGTTTTTCCCTTTGCGAAAATAAAAAAGCAAAATAAGACAAAAATGTTCCTTTTGATCTTCCATTTTTCAACGAACGCCAAACGAAAACTTCGCAACCGATCAAAAAACTTTTTTTTAATGATTGACAACTGAATTGCCAACTATCAAATAACAAAATGTGATTTACATTTGGACTACGCCAGCAAAACTAACAATTCAACTGAAGCCATCTATGAGTGAAATCCGCAATTACTTAGTTGCCAACCCATAATTTAAAAATATTTTGTTATTTAATTTTTAATTTAAACATCATCTAAAAGTAAGCGGAACATATTGGCTTCTTACTAAAAGGTACATACCCTTACATACTTATATAGGCCCAAAACTAATGTCTCATGCTTAAGCTTGTAAATATGTATACCTACATACAACGTCAACAAGCATAATTTTATACTTTAAGCTAAATTGTCTCTTAAAGCACACCACAAATTACTTTACTCCAAACCCCATTACTGTAAACGATCTTCTACGATTTATATGTTCAGTGGAAAATAATCAATACCATTATCAGTAAGTGCAAAAAATAATAATAAATGTAATAAATAAATTAAAAAATTAAAACTGTGCAGCAAGAAAATAATCAAAAAATATTATTTTATCTTAAGTGTTATAATTAAAGCTAACGGGATATATAGGTATATGCAAAAGTTACATTTTCCATGTAAGAATATAAGAAGAAACGATGAACTCTTAAAACTCTAAAACCTAATGATTACATAATTGTGCAAGTAGAGCTTTGAAATTTTGATTCATTTTCCACCATCTTTGCATACATAAAGTACAATAATTCCAGCTTTCTGTTGCCACCAATATTGCTTATAAGCAACTTCTCTGTTTCGCATCGTTTGAAATCGCTTTTACAAACCGTATGGTAGGATATCCGCAAAAATTGGATTTTTCCCGTAGAAACGAGTGAGCTGAGAGTGAGAGAGCAACGCAGGGTTACCAATCTGGATATTTTGTAGTAAATAAAAGATAAACTTGAACATATTTGAAATATTCTTAAAATAACTCAAATGCACAGTCGAATACATTTATTTATAAATAGGTAAACTATTTTTAATAGTTGGATTTTAGTTTTGAGCTTTTACATTATGAAAAATTATAACTAAACAACTAAATGTGTGAAAAATAGTGTATACAAATAGAACAATGGCAACATTGGTGAAATGAAAACAATTGAGAACAACTGATTTCTGCGTTGCAACTACGGGCATAACTTCTGACAAATTTGGTTTGATGCGGGCGGTAACAACGGAAGGGACGAATGTCGGTGACTGTTTGAGCTATAACAGTTTTGACATCGTGTTATGAGTTTTTAATCGGAGCGAAGTTGAGCGTGTCGGTCGTGCGGAAATTTTGGGGTAGTTTATAAAAAAATAAATAAAATACTTGAAAAATAAATATCAAGAAAATAATTACACAGTTTTAAGAACAAATAGTAAAAGAAAAAAATACAAGTGAAAAAATTAATAAACATTTTTCTATTGTACCGCTAGATTTTTTGTTTGTGCAAGTTGCTTAAAAAGGTTTTAAAGAGATTTCAGAAAAGGGTGAAGAATTAGAAATCGATTTACTAGAAAGGATTGCCAACCAAGAAATTACTCAAGGACCAGAAAATATAGAGCACTTTATTGCTGAAAAAAGTAGATGTATCCCAATTGAAATGGAGAAAAAGACCAATCGACATTCAAGACGTTACTTGCAAAAAGTCTGAAATTAGCATAGTACAATAAATAAGCCAATCCAATATTTCGTCACGAGTTTTGATGATATAGTAATCAAACTGATTCTGCAACATAGCAATATACATATACGCCCTCCAAAAGTCCGGAAGTGAACCCAAATGCTTAAGTAAAGATTTCTTGGAGTTTTGTTGTACAGGGTTGCTCACATATTGTGCTACAAAAACAAACCGTAATAACTTTTTTTAATCAATACATATATTTTTTTTACTGTATAGAATTTTTTTTTTATTTTATATAATTAATTATTTATAAAAATTATGGACCTTAGTGCAGTCAGGTCAGGTGACCTTGGGATCCAGCGGAAAGTGGAGTTTCTTGATATTAATTTGTTTTCAAATTTTCGTCCGTAATAACCGGTCTGGCTATGTGTGCAATTTTTCCATCACTATTGAAAGCTACACGTTTTCGGCGCACTTCTGGGTAAAAAAACTTAATCAACATCTTTAAATAACAGTTACTCTTACACCGTTTTGTTCAAAGAAGGATTATTGGAATTGTGACCGTCTACTAACTCCGGTTTCGCCGATAAGTTTTGAATCGAAACTCTTAAATTTGCCTGAATAGCAAATGCGATACTTCCAGATTCGACAAATATGTTCACCAACCTCAAATGGTTCATCTACACTGGGCAGTGCCGCCAAAATACCGCCTGAATTCCCTTTGGACGGAAATGACGGGCTTCAGAGCATGGTACCGCTGCACTATCCAAACCATCTTTTCGGTATCTCAAGCATTAATTTTTAAAAAATTTAAATAATAATCTGCTAAATAAAAAAGGTCGAAGAGGTCGCTTACTCACACAGAAAAAAAGTTATTACGGTTTGTTTTTGTAGCTAGATTCGTGAACCACCCTGTATTTAGGCTTAGTCGAGCTGCCAAGTCTTAGAATGGAAAGAACTGAAATTTACCGCCATAACTTATTTGATGCCGCGAAATAAATTTGTGAAAATAAATAAATTTATCCACTTTTCCTGTAAATCGAAGCAACCATCTTAAATTGATACTAATTATGACAAATTATACAAAATTCGTCCACTATTATCGTTGCTTAAAGAAAAATGCATTCATTTCCAAAGATGTGCACAGACATTAAAGAGCTTTCGGTTTTCAGGTTATTTGCATATTTTGGGAAGATCATCTTTCAAACAGTACAACCCCGCTATTTTTATTTTGACTTTGCGCTCTACGTTGGTAATGGAAATTGCCCTTCATATGGACTCGGCATATCATCGGAGATTGTATTATACCTGGCATCCGCAGTAGCAAAATTTCAAAATTACAAACTATACTTTGATAATTGGTACGCAAAATGTGAATATTTGTCATCGGGACGTTCCGAAAAAGTCGAATGGAAAGTGTGAACTAAAGTTTGAGTCAGATTTGAGAAAGTTTGGCAGGGGATCGTATGATATGAAATATGAAGCTAATTTTGGCATTTTTTTAATATATAGCTAATCGGGATATGTAAGCGTTGGAACGGGAAAGAAAATAAGTTTGTTGAAGTTCCGAGACCGGCTTTTGTTTCCAAATATAATTAAAACCTGGGAGGAGTTGATCTTGCCGACATGTTATGAAACTGTTTAAAGTGAAACATCACTGGAGCTTAGGCCCAGCAGTTACCAACCCCTTTTCTAGGAGACATCTTAAACTCGTTAATCCACTGGCCAAGCATGGATATCGCAACTGAGGTCTTAAACGCTACGCCGATATTTTCCTCTTCTACTCTAAAAAAGAGTGTCCTAGTGTTATACAAAATGTAGAAATCGGCTTAATTTCGGCTTCACCTTCTTCCTCAGAGTTCGAAACGCCATCATGTTTTCGAAGATCTCTCTAACTCGAAGCGATATGATGAAAATGGCCATTGGATAGTTTGGGGAGAGAAACGACAATGCCGTTTTTGTAAAACCGAAACACCTCTTTCAAAATGCGTAAAATGGGGTGTTCATATATGTTACAATACGCACAAGAACTGTTTTTTATCTTAGCACACTAAAAACATAAAACATTTAAAACAAACATATGATAAATAAAAAGAAACATCTTTTTCTTTGCAGATATTTATATGTATCTCCCAAAAACCGCCCTAAACGCCCAAAGTTGCTTACAAGCAACTTTCTATATCTCGCGACCGGATAAAGCTAGAGAGCTGAAATTTTTCATACAGTTGGTTTAGGTGCGGGGCTGGTTTAGGTAGGTCGAGTGAATGTCTCACCGCGTATCTAAGCCTTTAGGAGACCCATTGTCTGCTGGCATATCTGCCAATTAGGCAATGGCCTGTTAGCACTTCAATTAGAGTTCCTTTTAAATTTTAATAATCGGCATGTGCTGGCCATGTTACATTTATGCCACGTTTGCCTACGTGTTCAGCAAGTTAGGGATTGGCTCCACTGAGTTTCGGCTATATCTATAACATGTTTGTCGATTAAAAATCTACAAGTAGCCATCGGCATATAAATTCGCTGGTTTTCGGAGTCTAATTTATGCGCGATGTCTACACTGGCTAGTTTGTCTGCTTCACAGATCACCCATTGCAGACTTATCGTGAAATAGGATGTTAGATCCCCCAAGAGATCAAGGCACTATTTCACTATCTTTGATGAAGCCCTAAGAGACTTTAGTGATTTCAAAGCCGCGTGGCTATCTGTATACATATATAAATATATTTCTTGTTGTGGGCACACATCTTGTCAGAACAAGAAGACTTTCTTTTATTACTGGCAACTAATAGGGAGGATCCCTTCAGTCTAAGAGTTGACAGTTGCTTACAGAACAAGTCTGTGGGCAGTAAATGTAAAATAACATTTAGCGCCTGGATTGGCGTTGATCTAAGATATCCACTGATACATATACTTGCTGCTCTTTGTATGCTTTCCGTACGCCTTACCGCGTGTGTCTATTCCATTAATATCTAACATACCAATATACCGAATGCCATAATCTGCTTTACAACTGTTGTATAAAGCCAATGAGTTACGCAAGGCATTAGTCCCCATTTGGGCCTTACCATCCCGCCGTCTAAGCAGAGAACGTAGAAGAACCAGAGAACGTAGAAGAACGAGAAGGTGCAATTGAATTTTATATGATGCTCGATTGGACGGCTAACAGAACTGAAAACGTCAGATCAGGGAGTTCACCATTTCCTGTAGTATTCGCTGTTGTTTAACAGAAATGAAAAATTATAACAACGTTCTTTTGCAGAAATACGTATCTCCCAACATAAAGAGAAAAATGAAATGAAATGAATGAGAAAAGAAAAAATACAAATGCCACTTCACATATGCATGTTTATTTTTTGCCATATAAACGATTTTTATGATGAAAAATTGATAAAATATTATTTTTGTGCACAAATGCTACATTGATAAAATATGAATGATTATGCAAAAAGTGATATTTTACTATTTGCATAATTTTCTAATTTCAATTGTTACAGCATTAATAATTAATGTATGTATGTACATCAATATGTTATAATATATAATATAATATAATAATATACATACATATATTATCACTTATCAATACATACATGTGCGCGCACTGCTCTATATGTAAGTATGTACAAATGTACAAATATGCGTATGACCTTGCAAAATAAGTAATGCATGCACAAATCTTCATATGTACATATAAGCGTACAAATGTAAGTATGTCAGCCAATAGGAAAAATACAAACATTGTTATACAAGAACAACAATTGTCTCAAATAGCATGAGCATCGTCAGAAATCAATATGGCAGCCAAATTGACAAATCCTAAATTTGTAGTAAATCACACAACAACAACATTTTCATTCCTGAAGGCTGGCGCACATGCAATAAGCTAACGCTTTACACATCTCCCCGAGCATGCGTTTGCCCCAAAGCCTCTTTTTGCGATCATAAATTGAACAACTTTTTGATGTTCCCTCTAGAAAGGGAAAGTGACAACCCTGCAAGCCCACAAAACACAGAAAAAGTGACAAAAGTTTCAACAAAGTTTCGGTCGATTTAAAATATTTTACAATTCTAAAATATTTTTCAGTTACTCCCAAAATCTGCGTCAATATGTATGCATGTTTATATTTAAACATATGTATATATTCACAATGATTTATAGGCAAAGCGGTTAGAGCGGCAAGGGAAGCAAGGACAATCGGCGAGCCTTCGTTTATTTTTCGGCACATCTCGGATTTTTTACCAACAACACAATGTTGTGACGCTTTGTCGTCGCGTCAGTCCTTTGACAGATTGACTCTTTGACATGAAAGCAAAAAACGTGAGCTTCGATCATTGGTTGACCGTCTCAACGGAGATTTCACATGAAGTAATGAGTGTACATATCTACATACATATGTATGTTGTTTGTAGACAAATTTACAAATATTTTTATACTCTCGGAACTTGTTGCTACAGAGTATAATATTTTTGTTCACCTAACGGTTGTTTGTATCACCTAAAACTAATCGAGTTAGATATAGGGTTATGTATATATAAATGATCAGGATGAAGAGACGAGTTGAATAAGACGGTTAGTATTGCAGATGGGCGTAATCGGACCGCTGCCACGCCCACAAAACGCCTTTAATCAAAAACCAATAAATTGCCTTAACTAAGCTCTGCAATAAGATACAAGACTGTCATTTGGTACACAGGATCACATTGGAGAGGGGCATCCGCAGTTAAATTTTTTTTAAGTGGGCGTGGTCCCGCCCCTAATAAGTTTAATGTGTTACTGCGCGATAAACCAAGCACAAAACACGCCAGAGACATTAAATTTTATATCTGGGATGGTATGAGATGACTTTATAGGAACCGCGTTCAAAATTAGTCAGTGCGCGTGGCACCGCCCACTTTTAGATAAAAACCCATATCTTGGGATCTGCTTAACCGATTTCAACCAAATTCAACCGATTTCAACCAAAACCAAATTAAAGTATGCCACCTTGTGACCAAAAATTGTCCAAATCGAACCAAAACTGTTCAAGCCCCTAAGTACTGAATATGTGGACCCCAGTGCCTATAGTTGACCTTCTACCGAAAATGTCGGTCAATCCACAAAGAAATCTCAAACGAGTATACCATTTGACTTTGCGAGAGTATAAAATGTTAGGGTACATCCGAACTTAGCAGTTCCTTACCTGTTCTTTCATATTTCTTTACATGTACACATGATATGAAAATGCCGACGGCAAAACACAATTCTGTACTTTTGTGACTCCATAATGGTGTCAAGTACATGAAATATTTTAAGAAATATATCTTCTAACTTCTCCGATTTTACCACAAACAAATAATAAGCGGATTCCTAGAGTTTTACCCCTGCGAAGCGCAAAATAACAGAATTAAGCATTTTGAATGTGAAATAAGAAAAAAAATGCTAAGAAATATTCGCTAACAGATTCGTATATTTACAATGACCAAACGACTTTGTATATAATTCTGCATATATAGGGTGGCTCACGAATCGTACTACAAAACTAAACCGTAATAAGTTTCTGTTTAATCAATGCATTACATTAATTTTTTTTTATTGTATAGAAAATTTTTTATTTTGATATTTTATTGTAATAGAAATGTTCTCATTTCCATGCTCAGCCACGCATCTGCGACACCTAAATAGAAATTTATTAATTGCGGGCTGAAGGGTTGAAATCGGGATTGCCTCAATTATATATTTAATGAACTGCTTCAATTCAGGGAAATTTCTGGGTTTGATTTTGTACGCCTCTTGCTTGACATCACCCCATCAGAAAAAACCAAGCGGTCGCATATAATCTTGCATGCACAGTCAGCGTCAATATAAAGTATACAAGTCCATCTCAAATCGTCACATAATTTTTTTCTTAGTATTTAACTCTTTTTCTTTTTTAAAAGTTGCTCTTTTCTCAACAATATTTAATACTCTCTGTTTTAAACAAAAAAAAAAAACTCAAAATTCCAACAACAATTTGAGTTCAGCAGCAAAAACAAATTACATTCCATATTTAACGCGTCAATGTTAAGATTACAGCCGTGTTGTTTTTGTAAAAATCGCAGTGGAAAGCAGCGGGAGCAAAAAATTTTCCTTTATATTTTGTTATTTGATTCAGTTGGTCATTTTAAGAATCACTATTCACACGTGCTTGTAACCAAACTTTTTTTGTGCAAATATTTTTTTTTATAAAAATGGGTAAACAAACCTCTGTCGGCACGCGTGAACTTGTTATAAAATTACACAAGGAAGGAAAAACGTTGAGAGATATTGTCGACTTAATCAGCAGAAATCATAACACCGTAAAAGAAATGATCGACAAATACAATAAGAGTGGAAAATTGCAGAATATTGATCATCGTCGAAGACCACGACGGCTTAATAATACCCAAATTCGAAGTATAGTACGAACGGTGTAAGCGAATCCCTTTGAAAGTGCTGTGCAAATAACGAAAAATGTGTCAGAAGTATCAGGCGAAAGCGTAAGTGCCAGTACAGTACGTAGGGCCCTGCATGAAAATGCCATCTATTGTCGAATGCCCAGAAAGAAACCATACATTACAGAGACCAACTAAAAGCGACGTCTTGAATATGTAAAAATTATGAAAATGAAGATTTTTCTTTCTGGAACAATGTCCTGTTTAGCGACGAAAGCAAATTTGAGATATTTGGCAAAAAAAAGCTGTACAAATTTGGAGAACCAAAAACCAGGCATTTGCAGAACAAATTTTGATTCCTACCGTTAAGCATGGTGGTGGCTCGGTAATGGTGTGGGGTTGTATGGCCGCAGGTGGAGTCGGAAACTTAGTGTTCATTGAGGGGGCAATGAATAAGGACGACTACCTTAAGATTTTAAGGGATAATTTGTCACCCAGCGTTGAAAAATTAGGCTTGGATGATTCTTGGGTCTTACAACAAGACAATGATCCGAAGCATACTGCTAAACTGGTATATTCTTCTGAATTTATTTGCCGCGCTTTGGTTTTATGATAGTAGCAATATATTATTATTACCGAACTATCATTTAAACCCCTTCAGTTATCCGCCACTGTGGACAACCAATGGCGAAGCTCATGTTTTGGTTTTTATGTCATAGAGTCAATGTGTCGATAAATTGACAACTGTTTGCGCGACGACAAAGCGTCAACACATTGTGTTGGTGGTAGAAAATCCGAGTTGTGCCGAAAAAAATTAACGAACGTCCGCCGATTGTTACCGCTTCCCTTGCCGTACGTATGTTAATGTAAGAGCATGCATACAATCGACGCAGATTTTTGTGAGCCACGGAAACATATTTTAAAATTGTAAAACAAAAGCTTTGTTGCCACTTGTGTCACTATGTATTCTTTATTTTACGGGGTTGTCACTTTTCCCTTCTCGAAGGAACATCAGAAATTTGTTTAATTTATGATTTTTACGATTTGAACGTTTATTTACGTTCTCTGACTTCGACACTTTTTTATCGTTACGAGTGTATGTATGTAGGGTTTGACAACAATTACGTCCTAAAATGGTAGTTTACATCTAATCCTCTTAGTATGTGATTATTTTCATTATACATACATTCAAATTAGTCATTAAACTTTACACACATATTTGTATTTCGAAAGTTTATTTTAAGAATTCACAAAAGTATTTGCGTGTCAATTTGCAATTTACATGAAAATTTGACAGTTTTTCTACGTTGCTTCTTCTATTTCTCCTTTTTATGACGTCATTCTTGGTCGCAATCAAGAATGATAGAAACAAGATTACGCCATCGTAATCATAAGCTTTAGAATGAGTAGAGGCATCATAGAAACAAAAACAAACCTTTATAGCTTATGATTCTTGTTCACATCTATCACAGCCTAAACCGAAAAAAGTAACAGTAAATACTTGGTGTAAGCTTGTCTTTTAACATTCTTGCTCTTAGCAGAGAGTATATCATATATATGATATACGTTCTCTGCTCTTAGTATATGATATCGATCATTGAAATGGCGAAATGATGACGTTATAACTTCACAGTGAAATGATTGATTCGTCGCTTCGTTTCGTTGTATACAAAATTTCCCAGGCACACACTACATATGTGTGTGCACTAGAACTTGGCGCCAATTTTTATAATGCGCGGCTAGCAGCCGATTTTAAAGTATTGCACTTTGTTAGTCTTGAGTTGAAAAACAAGTGAATAAGATCCGCAGTCAACTGCACTTTGGTGAGTTCTCTTAAACATCTGTACACATCCATACATATGTATGATAGGTGTGGAATTGAAAGCTTTTTCTGTATTATATGTGTACATACATACATATATATGTATATGTTATTTAGCTTATATTTTGGCAAACGAAATAGCTTTTTACATATTCTTGACCTTCGAGAAAACACAGTGCAGTGCTTCATCTCATTTTTTGGCTTTCCTTTAATTTTTGTTGCTATTATATTATATATACATATGTATGTATACTGTCAGCGTCAAAAGAAAGGGTACACCTTTTTCTCATACATTTCAGTCTTTATCTCAGTAGAAAAATATTTAAAAATTTTCAAATAAATTATCATTTATGAATGATCAAATATTGTTCTTACAAAAAATTAACAGCAATCCAAAAAAAATCCATAAATACAAAAACAATACGAACAAAACCAAATATTCTCAGTATTTCACGCGTCAAAACAAAGTTGCATATTTATTTTACGCAAAAAAATATACCGTTAGCCATAGTTCTTTCTTTGTAATTGCTTCATTCTAATGTTATTTAGTATCCTTGTGTAGATAGAATTTTATTTGCGTTTGGAAATTTGACAAGAGCACATGATCAATTTTAAGAAAGACGGAAAATCTTTACGCGAAATTGCTTCGATGATTGGAAGAAGCCATAACACAGTGAAAAAAATTATTGATAAGCAAAAAAAAGTTTGGAGAATTAGAATATTGGACACGTTCGGGTACGCCAAAGCGGCTCAGTGATACAGAAATGCGATCAGTTGTGAGAGCTAAAGATAGATCCAACTGTCAGTGCCGTAAAAATGTCTGAGGAAATGTCCAGAACATCCGCACTGAACGTAAGTGCCAGCACGATCAGGCGAGCGTTGCATGCCAATTTTCTCTATGGACGGGTACCGAGGAAAAAAACACACATTTCTACACAGAACCAAAAGCGGAGATTGCAATTTGCTGAAAAATATAAAAATAAGGACAAATCGTTCTGGAATAACGTAATTTTTTCTGACGAAAGCAAGTTCGAAGTTTTAAGGAAGAAAAAAAGTACTAAAGTTTGGAGAAACAAAAATCAAGAGTTTGAACAGAAAAATATTACATCCACTGTATAGCATGGTGGGGGTTCGGTGATGGTTTGGGGGTGCATGGCGGCAAGTGGAGTGTAAAGACTGGTGTTTATTGATAGCACAATGAACTAAATAGATTATCTAAACATTTTAAAAGAAAATTTGCTCCCCAGTATTGAAAAATTGGGCTTAGATCAATCCTGGATCTTCCAACAGGATAACGATCCTAAGCATACGGCAAGAATAGTAAAGGAATGGTTGCTTTACCGTACACCAAAACAGCTGGATAATCCCCCACAATCACCTCACCTAAACCCCATTGAGCATCTGTAGGAACATTTGGACCGGAAAGTAAGAAAAAGGAGCATAACCAGTAAAAAATCTCTGAAGGACATTTTACAAGGGGAGTGGTCCAAAATTTCCCCGGAGGTAGTGTCCAACTAAGTGGAATCAATGCCAAGGAGGCTGGAAGCAGTTATCCATGCAAAGAGAAGACAAACAAAGTATTATCTTTTTAATTTTTCTTAAACTGTACACTTTGTTTTGACGCGTGAAAAACTGAATATATTTGGTTTTGTATGTGTTGTTTTGTACTTGTGGATTTTATTTTGGATTGCTGTTAAGTTTTTGTAAGAACAATATTCAATAATTTATAAATGATAATTGATTTAAAAATTTTTAATATTTTTATACTGAAATAAGGATTGAAATGTATGAGAAAAAGGTGTACACTTTCTTTTGACGCTGACAGTATATGGCTTTACGGTAATTGGATGTGCTTCAGAATATCGACTTTTCACGTCCTTGGGTATTTCTTCTGAACGTTGGTAAAATGTACCATTTCCTGTGCGTGGTTGACGGTTTATATACACAAAATTAGTAGTGTGTTAAGCAAAAAATAAAAATTATTTAAATTAAAAAATTAAACATATTTTTGGCGCCAAGTGGAAAGTTCATTTTTCTATACAGTGGCTCATAGCCAGTTTGTTCTATTTATTGCCGTCATTTGTAATACCCTGAAGAGGATTATTTAAGTTTGCCACGAAGCAAATGACGGAGATCCCATAAAATAGAAACACATGTACTTATGTACTTATATATAACTGATCAGCGTGACGAGATGAGTTGATTTAGTCATGTTGGTCTGTCCGTCTGTCTGTAGACATATACGCGAATTGGTCCCTTAGCTTTTGAGATCTGAAATTTTTGTCGGACCACTATAGCATATATGTATATAGCTGCATTCAAACTGACCGATCAAAATCAAAATAAAGCTCTTTTGCTATAAGATATGCACCGGTGAAGAGCATTATAGCTAACGTGTTCTCTTATTTTAATTTTTATACTCTCGCAACCTGTTGCTACAGAGTATAATAGTTTTGTTCACCTAACGGTTGTTTGTATCACCTAAAACTAATCGAGTTAGATATAGGGTTATATATATATAAATGATCAGGATGAAGAGACGAGTTGAAATCAGGGTGACTGTGTGTCCGTCCGTCCGTCCGTCTGTCCGTCCGTCTGTCCGTCCGTCCGTCCGTGCAAGCTCTAACTTGAGTAAAAATTGATATATCTTTATGAAACTTGGTAGACATGTTTCTTGGTACCGTGAGACGGTTGGCATTGCAGATGGGCGTAATCGGACTACTGCCACGCCCACAAAACGCCATTAATCAAAAACAAATAACTTGCCATAACTAAGCTCCGCAATAAGATACAAGACTGTTATTTGGTACACAGGATCACAGTTAGGAAGGGGCATCTGCAGTTAACATTTTTTTTTTAAAAGTGGGCGTGGTCCCGCCTCTAATAAGTTTAATGTGCATATCTCCTAAACCGCTAATGCTATAATAACAAAATTCACTAGAAGCAAATGTTTTTAGCACTTCTATTGACGGTGTGAAAATAGTTGAAATCATGTGGCAACTCCGCCCATTCCCCATATAACGGTACTGTTAAAAACTACTAAAAGCGCGATAAATCAAGCACTAAACACGCCAGAGACATTAAATTTTATCTGTGGGATGATATGTGACGACTTTATAGGAAACGCGTTCAGAATTAGACAGTGGGCGTGGCACAGCCCACTTTTAGGTGAAAACCCATATCTTGAGATATGCTTAACTGATTTTAACCAAATTCGATACATAACGTTCTTTTTATGTTTCTATGTCATAGTGCGAAAATGGGCGAAATCGGACTACAACCACGCTTACTTCCCATATATTTTAAATTCCATCTGATTTTTTCACTTTCCACTATGCAAATCAGGCAACAATGACTGTATCGGGATAAAACTTTGCGTGAATAATGCGATTAAAGTATGCCACCTTGTGGCCAAAAATTGTCTAAATCGAACCAAAACTGTTTATGCCCCTAAGTACTAAATATGTGGACCCCAGTGACTATAGTTGACCTTCTACCGAAAATATCAGTCAATCCACAAAGAAATCTGAAACGAGTATACTATTTGACTTTGCGAGAGTAAAAAATGTTCGGTTACATCCGAACTTAGCACTTCCTTACTTGTTTTTTGTAAGTTTGCATCTCAAACTTATGGAATTCCTTTGTTCGAGTGTTACTTTCAAGTCCACTTAATATACAAATGTTTTACGTTTAATCACGTAAGATTTTGCAAATGGTAGCCATGTTGTTAATGCTGATACTGCAGCATGTTGGAAATATGGATTGATATCTGTAGCAATATCCGTACAACAATAATACACATATTCTCGCATGTTAAGCAAATATAAAGAGTAGATATACTTATATATATATTCTTCAATATTTTATTATTTTTTAAATGCGCATAATTTCTTAGCTGACCGATGTGGCATTTTTCCTTTTTTAATCAGCGGACACGTTTCCTTTTACACGCGATCAAAATAAAGCGAGTCCGATGCGGGTGGAAGTATAATATAATATAATAAGAGATTAAAGCAAATTACTGTAGCGATAGTGACGCTATCGGTCAGTGAGGCTGGTATTTTATTATACATTCGCAACTTGCTGCTTTAGAGTATAATAGTTTTGTTCACCTAACGGTTGTTTGTATCACTAAAACAAACGAGATAGATAAAGCATTATATACACATACTCGTATATAAATAATCATGATGACAGATGTTGTGAAGAAACTTGGTATACGTATTTCTTGGTACCATAAGAAGTTCAGTATTGTAGATGGGCGCATTCGGACTATTGTCACGCCAATAAAACGCCAATAATGTATAAAGTGCCATAACTAACCCTCAAATTATATTTATTAACCTTATTTGGTTCAATGAATCTCATTAGGGAGAGGGCATCTGCGGTTTGAAAATCTTTAAAAAGTGGGCGTGGCCCTGCTCTATAATTGGTTTATGTATATATACATCTCTCAAACCCCTTAAGTTATATCAACCAAATTTGCACAGGACAACTCTTTTTAACACCTCCAACGACGGTGGGAAAAAAGGTGAAATCGGATGATAACCGCCGATAAACGCTTTAGTTTAAAACTACTGAAAGTGCAATACCTCACTAACTAAACATGTCGGAGACATTCAAGACAGTAAGAACGAGCTTTATTTGAGCTAATATAGTAATTAGACAATGGACATGACGCCGCCCACCTTTACCTCAGGAACTAACACACCAAGACATATTCGGTGCCCAACTTAGCATAAAAAGTGTCTTTGTTACATCTTACGTCTAAAAATTGTCGAAATCGGAACATAACTTAAAGATTCTCGAACTTCAGGTTGACCTTATACCGTATATATCAGTCAATAGGTAAGCTATTTTAATGAAGCTAAAAATCATCTCTTACTATTAACTGTGTATCCTTGTGTCTAAAATGGATAAAATGGGGTGAATACTTGTTCTAGCCCCCATATACCCTATATAATCATTTTCAAACATCCGGTTGCCTTTCTGCTTTATACGAGGTTTGTTCAAAAAGTATCGCGAATTTTGTATTTCTTAAGAAAGTGTTTATTTATTCTTGAATATCTATTTTGCCCCTTTCAAAGTAATTATCTGAAGATATAGTGGAGTTACACTATTATGATGCGATACACGTAGCCCGCGAAAAGTCAAAATTGGCGGTAATTTCTGAACAAACCGCGTATTTGGCAAAAAACAACATATTAATGGTGCCGCAGTCACCGTATTCCACAGACCTGGCCCCCTGTGGCTTTTTGTTTGGTTCTCAAAACTAAAGAGGCCCATGAAAGAACGACGCTACGCTACGGTTGTGGAGATAAAAACTACATCGAAGGAGGAGCTAAATAAGATTACAAAAAATTACTATTTTAGGGGTGATTACTTTGAAGTAAAAAAAATATATTTTCATGAATAAATAAACATTTTCTTTATAAATACAAAATTCGCGATACTTCGTGATGCCAAAAATGGATAAAATTGGGTTACAGCTTCCGCTTGGCACTATCCCGTATACATATATCGGTAAACATGTTAGAAAAATTAAGTGAAAGGATATACTATAGTTAAAATCGAAAATGCGTGAAATCGGTCCACCAGCTAAGATGTCTTTAACTTAACAATGATCCAACGCTTTTTAAAATGAAAAAAATGACTTTATTCTTCGGTGTGTCTTCATCTAATGTACTGCAATTGCTATAAAGGTCCTCAAATATTTCCATACTGGTGTGAAACTGCAAGGTTTGCAAAATTGGTGCTTGTTTCCATTTCGACATTTGAACAAGATCGTTATCCAGTGAGTCACTACGGCTATTGGCCAAATGTGGTGAATATAGTGAGTGTGGGACTAGTTCATACCGCAATTTGTTATACATATATTCTTAGCGAAAGAGTAATAAGGTCACCTGACTTTGATCTTAAAGTTCAATCGATCCAATAAAGCACTTCAAAATTATTTATTGATTGTTTTACCATATTCAAGGTAGTCAGCTTTGGAAACCTCGTCCAACTTTCACCAAGCAACAACCAATATGCGAATTACCGATAGGTTCCATTGTTATATCTTTGTTTCATTGATTGTTACAAATCTGTCCAGAAACTTGTCCGTGACATATTGTTCTTTGAGAGTCAAACATATTTGTCATATGATAGATGTGAAATAGAGGTTTTAAGGAAAAGTATAGATCGAAGATCCGACTTGTACTTTAGAATCATAAGTTTATATGGGAGGCGAATATAAGCTATTTTCGACTTTTTTCATACTGTCGAATAGGATAGAAAAATAAAATGTCACCACAAAGTTTGGGTTATATATTATAGCTTGACTGGTTCAAGAGATTTGTTCATTAAAAAATTAGAGATTTTTTTCCATACATCTATAAACACTCACTTGTATCATATATAGTATGCAATTTCCGACAGTTGAATGACAAAATACGTGTATGTACAAAATAAAATAAAATTGTCCCACATTTCTGGGTATTTGTTTTCACATTTTTCAGGTTTATATATGTACTCGTAAATACATCTAATATTATTATGGATAAACCTCTTATTGGTCTGCTGTGTATCGATCGTAAGGATGGTATGAGCCAGGACGTTTGCAGTTACATTGATGACAAGAATGTCAAATATTTGGAAGATGCGGGAGCTGGTGTTGTCCCTATTTGGTATGTCATATTTATAATAATTTTATTGAAAGAACTATTTATATAATTTGTTATACACAATTTACTTCTCGTTACATAAACTGCTATACAAATTTCCGTTCTAAAATAAAGGATCAATAGAACCACCGACTATTATGAGTACATATTAAGCAAGGTAAATGGGTAAGTTACGAATACATATATTCATATTGTTCGTATATCCACACTTGAATCGAGATCCACATATTATTTGCGAAGTTGAGATGAGAAGAGTTGAGCAGATAAAATATTTGGACCAGGCTATAAATGTTTAAACTTTATAAATATTGGTTAGTTTCATCACAATTGCGGCGTTTAGGTATAAATATATTTAAACACCAGGCTAAAAACCAATAATTATATGATAATGAATATAATCAATTTCTAACAATTTTCTCCACACTTTTACTAGTATCTGTAAAATGATCTATGTGGGCTGAAGTTGAAGCTTCATAAATTTTCGTAGCTTTTAGTTCGTGCTTGGACGAGTTGAATAATAGGAGTATAACATAGAGAAGCAATATTCAAAGAGTTATCAAAGTACAATAGTTTGGAATGACTACGAAATGAGTTGAGTAAATCTTTTAGGTAGTCTTATAGCAAGATATTGAGAGGTTACTTCCAATTTCTGAATGCGTACATGACTTATCCGTAAAAATCTGCTCATATTGAAAAACAATTACGATATATTGAAAAAAAGATTAGGTATAGGATGCTATACTAACAAAGTTTGTGATCAAATCTACTTTATTTGGTAAATGTCCTCTTTCCAAAATTATAAAGCGATATTTAGACGACACCGTTTTATTGAAAGTATTAGGGTTAATCGTGTCCAAAATATTTTTGTTTTATCAATATCAGATTTTTCTTCCGCAGAGTTTTATTGCCGGGTGGTGCGGTCTACGTCAATACACACGATCCTGCTCGTTTGGATTTAACAAATTATTGTGTTAGCGCCTCTTTGATTATTATTCGGATAGCTGAGAAAATGCATAAGAAAGGTGTTAAGCTACCCATTTGGGGAACTTGCCTGGGATTTCAGCTTTTAGTACTCTACACAACCAATATGGCGGATACACCTTTCGGCACTGATGTGCGCGACAAATGCGAGTTTATGAATTGCTTTTTAGCAGTGGAATTTTTACCAGGTAATATTATTAGGTTATAATCGGTATATCATTAATGAACAGCACATTAAAGCTTGAAGTAGTAGCCACATATATAACCAACAAATATCTTAACATTATAATAAATAATTTCATGGCCCTTATGTAATATATGAAATACTACATTTTCTCCTTGATGAAGGGACGTATCCTCTGCAACAATATTAACAATAATTTATCATACATTCTTTGTTGTGAATCTTGTTTAGCTGAATAATCTGGCATGATTTTACAACTATTGTCAATTATTCCTTATATAATATTTCTGCTTAACATTTCGATATTAGTGTTTTCTATATATTGTGACGCCCTTTCAGATTAATTTTTTCGACAAAACTTTCCTATATTTTATTAATTGTTTTTTCGGGGCGGAAACGAATTCCGAAAATATGAGATTTACAAAATTGGTCCGGTCGTGCTTGAGTTCGTAATTTGTATACCTACATAAGTAAATATCTGAGGTTTCAACGTTGTCTTTATCGCCATTGTGTGTACGATCTTATCTTCTATTCCTTTCTATTTAAAATTAGCATGTAAAACATTTTCTTATATTGTATATTACAGATTTTCGTGATTCGCGACTTTTTGCCGAGTTACCTGTTGAAGTAGAGAGCATAATGAAGAACAAACCATTCGGTCATCATCGCCATAAGTATTGCGTGAGTCTTAAGGTAATGATAGGTGTAGATTTCTCTCTTACTTATTTCAATTATTACCTACCCGAAGGAACTTTAAGTTAATCTTATTTAAAATTTTTCAATAAAGACAGCAAAAAGTTTTAATGACGTGTGGCATATATTGGCGAAAAACGAAGACACGAAAGGTTTAGAATTTGCTTCCATTATAGAACATCGCAGGTAATTGAACGCTTACAGTGAATTAATCCTTACAAAACTATGCACTTCACAGATATTCGTTTTTTGGAACGCAATTTCATCCAGAATCGGAATGCTCACCAAAATGCAGTAAGGTAAAAGAGTATTTATCAAGGTTTTTTGTGGATCAGTGTCGGAGCTGTGGCAATCGTTTTGAAAGTGATGAGGAGGCGAGGCGCCATTTAATACAAAATTTTCCTACAACCATTTCCGGGCAGTGTAATATACGAGTATTTGGCGAATCAATAGATTATCCTCATCAAGAGAGTCTGCAAACATTGCCTACGAATTTACTCTAATGTTTGTGTTTTAGTTTTTTAACGGTATGAAACTATTTTAATTATGAGTCATTGAAAATAGTTTAAAATATAGATATACTTGTATATACTTATATATATAATTTACAGCGAAACTAATTATGATAATTCTGTGTTGTATGTTATACAATATGTGGTTTTGAAAATCAGTTTTGGGTTTAATTAGTTAACGCTATAAATAAAAAATGAGATAATCTCACATTTATTTTTGTTTTCATGTAAGTTATTAACTATAAGGGCGAAGGCGGTCCAATAAAATACTTTGCCTCACCGCCCGATGGTTCCACTGTATCAAAACAAATTTACTATTATACAAGTAAGGAAGGGCTGAGTTCGGATGTAACCGAAATTTTATACTCTCGTAAAGTCAAATGGTAAACTCGTTTGAGATTTCTTTGTGGATTGGCTGATATTTTCGGTAGAAGGTCAACTATAGGCACTGGGGTCCACATATTTAGTACTTAGGGGCTTGAACAGTTTCGGTTTGGTTTAGACAATTTTTGGTCACAAGGTGGCATACTTTAAACTGTCTAATCACTGTCTAATTTTGAAAGCGGTTCCTATAAAGTCATCTCATACCATCCCAGAGATAAAATTTAATGTCTCTGGCGTGTTTAGTGCTTGATTTATCGCGCTTTTAGTAGTTTTTAACAGTACCGTTATATGAGTAGTGGGCGGAGTTGCCACCCGAATTCAACTATTTTTACACTGCGGGTAGAGGTTCTAAAAAAATTTGCTTCCAGTGAATTTTGTTATTATAACATTAGCGGTTTAGGAGATATGCACATTAAACCTATTACAGGCGGGACCACGCCTACTTTAAAAAAAAGTGAATAATGGCGTTTTGTGGGCGTGGCAGTGGTCCGATAACGCCCATCTGCAATACCAACCGTCTCACGATACCCAGAAACATGTCTACCAAGTTTCATAAAGACATCTCAATTTTTACTCAAGTTACAGCTTGCATGGACAGACGGACAGACGGACGGACGGACAGACACCCGGATTTCAACTCGTCTCTTCATCCTGATCATTTATATATATATAACCCTATATCTAACTCGATTAGTTTTAGGTGATACAAACAACCGTTAGGTGAACAAAACTATTATACTCTGTAGCAACAGGTTGCGAGAGTATAAAAATAGCACAACCTCGTAGACGACCACTGTGAATTCAGATCTGAAATATCAGCCGATTTGGGTTCTTAGTTTTGTTTTGACTACACGTGGAAGCACATCCGAAGGGTTTGAGCCTAATGAGCGCATCCCGTTAGCCAGCAAACGAAAAAAACGCATTTTTGATCATCGCGGCAGTTTTCTGAATTTTTGCGTATTTCAACGCTTCTGATCACCCTAGGCTGATAACTAATGCTGCGAATGAGCTCATTATTAATTCTACGACGAAGTTATGAGTTATGGATAACAATCATAGTTGATATCCGACCTAAGCTCTACATATAATCGCTTAGTCTGATAAATGAATAAGAAAATCAATATAAATCCTATAGGTATATTCATCACATTAGTGCTGGGGGAATGTACTTACCGACACCTATCATTTTTGTTACCGAATGACATAATGGTAATTAATATATTCTACCTTAATTTTACTCTTGCAACATGTTGCTGCAGTGTATAATCATTTAGTTCACCTAACGGTTTTTTGTATCACCTAAAATAAATCGGGAGTTCAAACCCGGGACACGTTTTTTCGTCAAGCGATAACTTGAGTAAGAATTGAGATATCTTGAAGAAACTTGCTACACATATTCCTTCACATCCAAGGGAGGCTGGTATCGGCCCATTGCCACGCCCACAAAACGTCATTAACCGAAAACGTTTAAAAAGCAATAATTAAGCCGCAAATTAAGATACAAAAGTGCAATGTGGTGCAGAAGATTGCAGTAGTAAGGGGCACATGTGGGTAGGCGTGGCTCCGCCCTTAAATGGTTTAATGTAGACACCTTTCAAATCGCTTATGATATATCGACAAAACTTGCTGAGAAGTAGTCATTTTATCAACGGTTATATTGAAAACTACTAAAAGTACGAAAACTCACAAAATAAATAAACCACGAGTATTAAATTTCGCAAATAGGATGGAAGGGAAGGGCCTTATAGGATCTGGTATAAAAATTGGATGATGGCGGAAGCAAAGCCCACCTTTCGGTGAAAATCTATATCCCTGGAACTACTCGACCGATTGCAAACAAGTTTGGTGTACAGGTTACCCAAAAATTCCAATTACATCCGATTAAGCCCTTCCTTACTTGTTGTATTTTGATATCTTCTATTGAGTTATATGATACTCATTTATACTTAACTGAAGGTCTAAAATTTAAAATATTGGGCATATGAAGGAACATTAACAGGTGGCGCGAATAACTTTATGTATATTAGGAGTTTGGTTTTAGGCCGATTTCACTCATATTCAGTAAATGATTAAGAAACCACTTATTTGCATAAAAATATCGCACATATTGACTTCAATAATTTGTTTTCAGTCAACTGGAAAGTCGAAGACTTGAACTGATTATAAGCACTGTCGGCATAGGGACAGATAATTATTAAAGAAATGTTCTCTCTGATTTTATTTAAGATAACTTACATATTGACCTGATATATGCGGTATATTAACCTGAATTTAAACATTTTCGCCACAGGGACACATTATTATCAGGAAAAGCTTCTCTCTAAAATTTATTATTTCATATCAAATACAGACCGATATTTTTTTATAAAGTCCAATTATACCGTATCTGGGGGCTTCAAAATTTATGGTCCGATTCCGATGTTACTATACTATACTGTAAAACGAAAGAATCGTATGTAATTTAAAATTGTGACGCATAGGAAGTAGGCGTTATTGTGCCCGTTTTCCCAATCGAAACATTAAAATGTCGGGTTAATGTTATATATTAATTTGGTTGATATTGGTCGAGGAGATACGACATTTTACTTTCACTTTTAGTTTCGTATCATATTTATTAAGTTATCTCACTTTTAATAGTTTTCAATATAACTGTTATGTTGAGTTGGGCGTGATTATCATGTGAATTCGCCTACTTTCACAGTGTGTAAATTATATACCGGTGTACCGGTTTTTGTGAAAATTAATTTTGAATGGGAAAGTAAAAACGTCAAAGTATGGACTATTGTTTTTTATACATTTTGACCACCTTTCTGGCAATTTGCCAATAGAAATGTTCGTCTTTTGAAACAAACCAATCAGACACCCAATTTCCGACTTCTGTGTAGGAATCGAAGTGCTGCTCAGCCAATGCGTGTCCGATCGGAGAAAGCAATTGGTAATCGGAAGGGGCCAAGTCTGGTAAATACAGCGGGCTTGCAACATGGCTGACATTTGCTTTTAACTCAAAGTATCATTTTCATCCAATATTGCTTACAGTGCGTCTTCAAACTTTTTTGGTGGTCTTCCACGTTCTTCATTTCTCATATCAAAATCATTATATCTGAACCTGTGAAACCATCTTTTGCATGTTGCTTCTGATTGAGCATGATCACCATATGCCTCGACAAGCATTCGATGAGACTCTGTAGCACTTCAAATGGAAATAAAAAATTAATGCTTTCCGTAATTCAACACTCTCCGGTAAACAATTTGACATTTTCAACACAACGAAAAAATATGATGTTGTTTGTTCAATGACTGTACGGTTATTGAATATATTTAACAGATGTCATGCCAACAAAAAAAAAAAAAGAAGAAAAATAACCTTCAAAACGTTATGCTATCTCATGCTGAAGAGGAAATGCCTTTAAAATGGATCTACCAACACGATAACGATCCGAAGCACACGGCCAAATGTGTACAGGATTGGTTTAATTACAACAAAATAGAGGTTTTGAATTGAAGAAAATTGCAAAAATAAGGACTCTCTCTTTACCCAAGTCGAACGGCATTGAAAAACATTTCTCAAGACATTTTAAACAATTTAATTGAATCCATGCCACGAAGATGTGAAGCCGTCACAAAAAACAATGGATATAACACCATATAGTAACAACAAACACTTTTATTTTTTTACTACCTGTAATTCCTATAATTATTTTACCGTTATATTGTTTCTCGTATTCATGTAAAAGTGTCACTTATGTGTTTATCCATTATTAATTATGACAAGTACTTTATTTAAATTACTCCGTAACACCTATTTAACTATGCTCGCACGCGACGGTAGAAATAAATTTGTGAAATACACACACACACTCATAAATACACCTGAAAATAATTTTCGTAAAGTGGAAACCCAATATTGTGTAATAAAATGTAAATGTACCGCAAGTAACATGAGACGCGGCACCGAAACCCGTATTCAAGCAAAGGTATGGGTGCGGTTAGGCAACAGGTCAGGAGTTGGCAACAGCACAAAAGGAACTCATGAAGATGAGGAGGAAGATTTACTAAACAATTTACCTTTTAAGAAACCGTGTTTGTGTGAATATTGTCTTTTGATTTTGTGTCCTTTTCCACTTGGGGTTCAGATTGTGCCGACTTCTTGGCAAAAAAAAATGCCTTATCAAAGTACAGGGTTGCTCACGAATCGTGCTACACAAACAAACCGTAATGACTTTTTTTCTGTGTGAGTAATCGACCAATTTTTTTATTAATTGGCAGGGTGTTATTTAAGTTTTTTAAAAATGAATGCTTGGGATACCGAAAAGATGGTTTGGATAGTGCAGCGGTACCATGCTTTGCAGTCCGTCATTTCCGTCCAAAGGGAATTCAGACGGGATTTTGGTGATACTCCCCCGAGTAGATGAACCATCATGAGGTTGGTAAACATGTTTGCCGAATCTGGAAGTATCGCTAGAAGACTGTACTATCGAGATCCGTATGTCCGTGTTCAAGAAACATCCGCTGCTGTTGCTTTGTCGATTCAGGCAAATTTAAGAGTTTCGTCTCGCAACTTATCGCCGCAACTTGGAGTTAGTAGACGGTCATTAAAACGGATAATTCATTATTACTTAAACCTGTTTCCGTACAAAGTTCAAATAACAAGCCGGTTAATCTCTCTAAATTTGCCTATTCGCCTGTAATTTTGTCAAAAAATGATTGAAAACAATAACTTGATAAATTGCCAGTTTATGTCTGATGAGGTTCATTTTAATCTAAACGGAAATGTAAACAAGCAAAATTGCTGTTTATGGAATGAATCAAATCCAGAAATAATCCATG